TATCAATTGATAATCCCTACTCTTAAAAGTATCTATATTCATTTCAACTTAAAAAAAAAAATCTTAAGATTCCGCATTCGACTTTAATTTTGCAAAACAACCCAGTATGAGACATACTAAAAAAAATGTGTTTCATGTATTTTTGGTAAAAGTGGATGTGTGTAACGCAGAGAAGGAAACGTTTCCGACCCCATAAGGAATATAGTTTCTTGATCAGTTTCATAGCCGAGTCGAGGGCCATGGTCTGTCCGTCTGACCGTCTAATTTCGTCCGTCTGGCTATAATTGATGAGTCCTGATCTGATTATAAAAGATAGGGCAACCAAATTTAGTTTCCAGACTCATGTGATATCCCACTGCTACAGTGTATTTCAAATTTTCGCCCCGCCCTTTGAGGGGACGAAAATTGTGGCGGGGCGACATTTTAAAGATACGATAAAACTAAAAACGCATTATTGTAGAGATGACCATATCTACCAGACTGCCGAATCTGAATCAGTCGGAAACCATAATTATAGGCAGAATGAGAACCTAGTTTTTAGTTGCTTCCCCTGCCCCATCCTGCCAACGACAACACAACCACCCCGACACGCCGCGTTCAGACGGACAGCAACAGACGGATGAGATGTAGAATCTAGACTCATGTTAGATGTGAAATATACATTGAGATGTAGATAGCAGATATAGCAAAAAAATGTAAGATGTAAATTTTTTTTATTCTAAATCAAAAATCTTATGCTCAAAAATGTATATACTGACTGAGTACGTGTACAAGTCCGCTTCCCCAGAAGCGACTCACGTTCCCCGTTAATACTTTTTTTGAGTACAGTTATCTAAAATTAATAGTATTAAAGGCAAAATAACGAAATGTAAAATCAATTAGCTTAAAGTACTTTATATTCTATATATTATTTTGGTTGAAAAATTGAGATTTTGTCTCAAACAGTGGTAGTGCTTTCCTTGCGCTTATTCGGGTACAAATGAACCCATCCCTAGCTTCTGGTCCACATACAGACAATGAAGCCTCACAAGCTTCACACATCTTTCCAAAACTTGAGTATGGCAAGGAAACTTATCAAATTGTAGGAAAACAGTACCTGATGATATCCAGCTTTCAACTTCGCTGTCTCTATACATCATTGTCATCGGGGGCTCTGTTATTTTTTCTTTCGCCCAATCTATTAAATTATAATAAATTGACGCATGAACTTGAAGTTCTGGAAGATGAAAATCACGAATTTGAATTGTTTTTGCCTCCTTGCCTTCAGTATCTTTCGGATAGCCATGGCCGTTAAAATATTTTCTGGATGAGCGAAATCGGAATTTCTTTGTATTGTTTTCTAAACAATGCTTTTTAGACCATCTCTCAAATATAAACACCTTTTAACCGTGTTAAAAATGTGCACGGGGCCATACTTCAAAGTTGGCTTTGTTTTGATGTCAAACCAGGTTGGTGCGTATACTTTCATAACGAAAGTGGCCAGATCTTTTAGAGACTGTGTTGGCTTTGCTGTTCTGATATATACACGAAGAATCCTGTTTGCGCAAGCAAGCCAACGTGAAAGTGCCAGTGTCCCTAGGTCTCTGCTAGCCAAGTTTTGTGAGACAGTTCCTGCTGAAACTGCGGAGCAAATGTCATACAGATATTTTGGATCGCTGCTTAATCAACCACTATAACCAAAAGCTCTTTTTTTAAATTAGGACATTTTTCGAGCATTTTGCCAAGGCTGCCATTAAAGCTATTAGGGCCTGTGGTTATACCTTCCACAGGAATAAATAAAGGGCGAAGTGGTAATTCATTCGCATGCAACAAGCACACAATCCACTGCAAGGGTCGATTGAGATATTTTTCCAATAAGGAAATGACTTCATTTTTATGTCCAGTGTTCACAGCAGTTCCATCACATCCAATTGCCAAAAGAGAAGAACGAATAAATGAATGAATTTTCTAAAAATTCGACTATTTTTTTCCCAATTGTGGCTGCTGTTCCCGAATCAATAGAAAGATGACCGATGTATTCTGAGCTCTGCTGAGGTATTAATGATACATATATGTTCTTCAGTGATGGTTTTAAATAAAGTTTTGTCTTTACGACCGTCAAAATAAATAGCCATCATAGAGTTTATCTCGTTGAACACACTACAAATATCTGCGAACTTTTTCGCGCTTCATCTTACTTAGGTCTATTACATTTTATTTTTACAGCTGTGTTCAATGAAATAGTAGTGCCGCACCTTCCAGTTATCCAAATTGAACTAATTGTACCTTTTTACATGACATAAGCCGAATACCCATGAAATTTGTTGTTCAATGAAATAGTAAGTAGTGTTTTTTAAGAGCATTGAAAAAAACAACGAATCTCAAATAAAAAAAATATATTTCATGTTCTTTATGTTTCCTGAATTTTAATATTTAGTTTTTAATCAATTTGGTTTTCATTGCGAACTTTCACCGGCCGAACATGGTTCATTAATCTCTTGCCAACGCTTCAATAGGATTTGAACCAATAATCCATAAACCACTTGCTAAAACTTGGCTCTGGTTGACGAATTTGCAGTTGCAACAATGTATTTGATATTCTCCCATAAGATTTCGATGATATTAATATCCAGTTGGACAGTTGGCCTTGGCAAAACGTCGATTTTTTCCGATAACAATTAATTCCGAGCGAGCTTTTCTGACTGTTTCAAGTCATTATCCGATTCAAATATCCTTTTAGCAGGAATTTTTCAACTGTAATATGAATGTAATGTATTCTAAAGTATGCCTACATACACAGCTTCGCTCAAAACCATTCTATACTCAAACGCCAGGCTAGAAAGTACTAGCTTATAAGAGCTGGGCCCCATAGGGCTCAGCCTAGCATGCCCAATGCTATATTTTTTATGATTTTAGGTGGTAATCGGATTTCTGTGAATGCCAAACATATTCGTTTGAGTCTATCTTACCAAATAATACAACTTTACTATCATCAGTCAGAAGTATTTTTGTCACTGTGACACAGGCCATTCCACATGGGTTTTTCCAATTAAAAGGATTACAAATTTTTTTCATAATTTTTGAGGATATTGAAGGCCTGGTCTTGCCTTCGACCGTCGCCGACCATCCTCTAAAAAATATGTTTTTAGAATACAAAATCGATTTTCAGTCTACTTCTTATAGTTAATTGCGTTAAATACAATAGTGAGAGTGCATACAACTTAGTTTTCAATCCCATTATACCTCCTGTCTTAAGTTTTAGGTTTTAATTCTTAGGTCACCTCTTCTGGACCGAGCAATGATTTCTTCAACGCTTCAAAATCAAAAGTACCGCTATGTACAAAACTTTCTTTCATCAAATTATTCGATATCTGAATTGCGCTTGCGGATGGTGACTTATTTAAATTAATTTGATTTGTTTTTTCATTTTTTAAAATTAATTTAACCCAGCACTACTATTTCATTGAACAGCAGATATCATGGGTAGTTGTCTAAAGTCATTTAAAACAAGAAGATGGAATGCAAATGTAACGGGGTTTCTGCTTACATTCCAGGCTTTCCGTAAAGGTATCACTTGTTCAATTTGAAGGACTAGAAATATCTCAAAAAGAGTTTTGAAAGTAGTGAGGTGCGGCACTACTATTTCATTGAACACAACTGTATATGTGATTATTATTCATGTTAATGTTTGTCATCTGTCATTCCTACCCAGAGTACTAATTTTTTTAATTGCTCTTAGTTTTTAGCGGAATCAGAGAAAAATTATGTTTGAAAAAAAATATTTTGGCATATGACATTTCGAACCATCTTCATACGAACCTTAAGATGAAGTGATAGAACTTTGATTTTTTTTTACACATTTTCTATTTTTATGAGGTCATTGATTAACAATAAGAAGAAAAGAAGAAAAGAAAAATAAAATTTTTTTTTGTCAGTTTCACTCCCTACTACATAAGGTCTTCTTCAGAAGTAGTCTAGAGTACGCTTGCTCGTCTTTCAGCAACCTGTTGAAATCCGCTTTGGCCAAAATCAAATCACATTGTAACCACCACCTCAGGAAGTCACTAGGCTTGATCATTTGCACTCCCATTCCGATCATTTACCACATGGCGGGAGAACTTCCTCCAGAATACAGAATAAGATTCCTGGCGGCTAAGGAGTTATCCAAGGTTTTTGCATATAATCTCCCAGCGAGTGAGACGGTGTCCCTAAACAGGATTTAAATACGGGCTACGCAAATGCATTTCGGGAGTTTGGCGGCATCTTAGAGAGAATTGAGGTTTTTGACAGTACAACAACACACTGTACCAAAATTAGGTCAGACTTAGACTTCTTCAAGGGAGGGAGGGAGGTAGGTCAGACTTAGACTTCTTCAAGGGAGCCGCTGCTAATAAGCACACCATAGACAAAGCGGGTATATTAGCTCTACACAGGGAAAAGAGGGCACACCTGGCTAAGGGAGGCTTTGAGATGTACTACACTGATGGCTCAGTAGGTAACAGACGTTCCAGCGCCGCTATAGACAGCTTTTACACACATAAAATCCTATCCTCTCTGTCGGCCGAGTTTCTGGCAATCGAAAAGGCCTTGGATCATGCTACCTCGAACAGCTTCCCTAGAGTCGCGGTCCTAACGGACAGCAGAAACGGGGCTCTTATACTGGCAAGGAGCATTCAGGATAATTTTATTGCCTACAAAATCAAAGAAAAGATCTATCACAACCGTTATCTAAAGTCGGTAGAAGTTCACTACATACCCGGCCACGCCAACATCCCTCAAAACACGTTAGTAGACACAGCAGCCAAAGAAGCCCATAGACTGGGCAAATACACGGTTGTAAAATGGAACCTCAAAGATGCAATCTGTGAAATACACAGGATATTAAAAGAAGAATGAAAGAGAGAATACGCCGAGTTTGCCAGCGCCAAGCACAGAGGATACTGCTCGCTTTTTCCTTCTACCTCATCCGAAATCTTGAATATTTGTTTTTCCACTCAAATTTTTACAAGGACAAATTGAGTTACTTATAAAAATGGGTTTAAACAAACACGGCCAACGCATAAAACGGTTTTAGCTATGAGCATGGACATTTGTTATATTAAATTTCAGGTAAAAAAGTACGGTCCAGTGGCTCAAATATTTGAATTGTTTTGCTCGGTATTTAACGCAAAAATGAGCAATTTCCTATCGAAGCTATCGGTATCAATGTAATAATGAAACTATCAATGAAATAATGAAACGCAGTTATCGTATACTATCCATCTCTAAGAAAATATAATCATGGGTAAAACATCAAAAGACAAGCGGGATATTTATTACCGTCAAGCGAAGGAAGAAGGCTGGCGAGCACGAAGTGCTTTTAAACTGTTGCAAATTCATGAAGCCTATGGAATACTAAACGGTACTTCATTACTGTTTAAGCGAACTTCATAAAAGCGAATTCACCTGTCGGTCTTCCCCATTTTTATGCAGGTGTGCGTCGAGCTGTCGACTTGTGTGCAGCTCCTGGAAGCTGGTCCCAGGTACTGTCTCGCAAGCTGTACGATCCGTGCCAAAACGATGCTGAAAAGTCCGCAACCAAAATCATTGCGGTGGACTTACAGGCCATGGCACCGATCCGAGGAGTTGTCCAATTGCAGGGGGACATCACCAAGGAAAGCACAGCCGAAGCTATAATAAGTCATTTCGGTGCTGACGGAGAAGAGAAGGCCCAGCTCGTCGTTTGTGACGGCGCCCCGGACGTAACAGGTGTGCATGAAATGGACGAGTACATGCAACACCAGCTTCTGGTATCTGCACTAAGTATAGCCACCGTCGTACTTGAAACCGGGGGAGCGTTCGTTGCTAAAATATTTAAAGGCAACGCCACCGGTCTGCTTAGCACACAGATGAAAATATTTTTTAATAAGTTTGATATCTACAAGCCTCCAAGTTCGCGTTCATCGAGCATTGAAGCGTTTGTGGTGTGCTCCGATTTCTGTTTGCCCCCCGGCTATATTCCACAAGTCATTAACACGGCACGAGATGATATACGCGTCCTTGCACAAAGAACAGGTTCCGATGTAAACCGCCACCTGGTGCCGTTTATCGCTTGTGGTGACTTGGATGGCCATACAGACTTTAATGACCGCTCTGAGGACGAGTCGATTGCCTCAGAAATGCAGGACGTAAGGGAAAATCGTTTCATTTACATATTTGGTATTAATTTTGTTCTCCAATAGGATTTTAATTATGACTATGACGGTGTTATAAGCGACGAATTTTACCCACAAGAATTTAAGGAACTATAATATGAATAACTTAAAACGACCTTCAATAAATGATATGTTTCGGAATCGATCTTTTACTCACTTAGAGTCACTTGGTCTCATTATATCATCAATTAATTATATTGATCAAACTATTATAAAAAGCATACACATTATCTCAGTATTTGGCTGGATAACCATGTTCAACTTCTAAAAAATGCTTCAGGCAAGGGCTGTTTTGTCTCCATAAGATTAATAATAAATGAGAAACACATTAAACTGTAATTTAAATGGGGTCTTAATTCAAAATCACTTAACGTTTTTATACAATTATATTTTAGTATTCTACCAATTGATTAAAAGTCCAGTCATTTTAGTAAAAGTTTCTTCTGCTCAATTTCTAGAAGCTTTTTTTTCAACTCAATTTTTTCCGCCACCAACTGTTCCATGGCTAAGTGGTGACGCTTGTCTTCATTAAATTTTTGCTTTAAGATAACGCAAAATTCGTTGAGCGCCAGGTTGACACTGTTGGTGGAGTCGTTGACCAAACCAATGTTGTTGCTTAATTTTTCCAGCAAATTATCCTCTTCGGCTGTTCTTGCTGTTAATGCTGCCTTTTTGCCTGCCTGCAGGTAAAGCGGGTCTATATCGACCTTGCAATCCTCTGGCTCGTAGATATATTCGGTAGTACCTTGCAAGGCGCTAGGATCCTCCTCCTCTGGCACCACATCTTCCACATCATATTCGGTATTGGAGTTGTCGTGCAAGTCATCATCGTCGGGTACTTTCAAAATCAATTGACTAACATCATCGTGTATACGACATAGGGTTGCTATTGTTTCCTCAGAAGAACTGAGGCTCGTCTCAAATGGCATATTAAGCATTTCATTTTTCTCCACTTTTTTAAGTATGAACCTTTTCCAGTCTTTCAACGCCTAGAATATAAAAAAGGCATTCATAGCTTGTCATGCAGACAATTAATTGAAATGCAATGCTCACCTTCTTCCATGTAGCCACATCTTTTCGTGGCGGGCCATTCCTGTTCAACTCTACTGTCAGTTGTTCCCATAACGATTCTGCGGAATTACGTGTTTCCCAAGAAGGGACTTGTAGCAATCGAGGATGCTTCTTCACAAAGTCTAGCAAGACTAATTCCTGAGCGGGGTTGCGTGGCTTTCCCTTATTCCGATCAATAACACTCGACTGTGATTGATATTTATATTTATATTTGTGACTCTGGGACAGAGATGAAGTGGGATGCATTCTATTCATATGTTTGCTTAAATTGGTAGTTGTTGTTTTATAAGAGAGCTTGGCTTTGCAAATGTTACATAGCGCAAATGTGTCGTCGACCGCTCGGAAAAAACACCAAATCTCGCTTGTTTTACGTTTCATTGTTACTAATTAAAGTAAAAATTTATCAAAAAATGTTTTGCGTTCCGTCTTTCTGAAGCAAAAATATGAACCGAACCAGTTTATGGGGCATTTGTTCCAGCAGCTGGTTCACTAAGTCGGAACAAAATCACAAAATTTTTTTCTTGTTTTCTCAATGGTATTCCACAAAACACTTTAGAAATGCTTTATATACCAAAATAAAATTTCTATATTGAACATTACTCAGATCAGCTAAATTTTGTCGACCAAATCAGCATGTATTCGTATCGAAGAAATAAGAACGATAAAGAATGATCCTAGTTATTTTTTAGACAACAAATTTCGCAGCTGGCTTTTTAGCAGACGTATAGTCAGATCCGATAAGAAAAATACAAATCAGACAACCGATGGAAGTATAATAAGTAAATATATAATTATTCAATCTTTTGTCGACAAAACGACACACAAAAAAAAAACATACACATTAACGAGAAGGAACTTGTGAGTCGCGTCTTTGGACAGACTTCATTTTTATACCCGTACTCAGTCAGTATATAAATTTGTGAGCTCATGATATACATATGTACAACCTTAAAAAATTTTTAATTTTACATTTTTTTTTCTATTTCTGTTATCTACATCTACAGCTACAATGTATATTCTACATCTAAAATATCCTGGACCGACCATTATTTTATTACAGGGCTATCTATTGGGTGTAGATAGTTTCACAAAGTTTCAGCACGAAATAATTGCAACTGATACTAAAAATCGTTTTTTGCTGTGTAAACCAATAATCCGGTTTCGGCTGCATCTTCAGGTTTTTGCTATACACACAAGCGCACTGCAAAACATGTCAGTCACACTCTGCCAGAAACAAACAAGTTAATAGCTTTATTTAGAAGATACTTGAACCTTTTGGTTAAAAAATTTAATTTATATGTTGACTTATCGAGCAGCAAAAACGTTAATTATTGTTAAAGTGATTTTGTGTTCTAGCAGAGGAGTTGGTATTGGTATTTAGTTGGTATTTTTACTTAGTCGATCTGAGTTCTTGACGAAATTAATTAAGTTTTTTCGCTAGTCTGCTAGACTAGACTGATAGCTGCGCATACTTTTGGTGCGCTTGGCGATAGTTATTGCATCGATTGAGTATCGATAATTTTAAAATATTGACAACTTAACCATCCTTAGGTCACACTGGTTCACTGACAAGTCATGATAATTTTTTGTAAAAAAATAGTTTTTCGCAATGGATGACTCGTTTTTCGGATTCGACACAACTATACCGGTAAGCATTAGCCCTTAACTGTTAATATTAGTTATGTTTCGATAAAAAATGAAGGCGAACATTATTATTTTGCTCAAATGTCTTAAAGAGCATCGGCATCGTCGTGTTAGTTATTGAACATCCTGCACATATTTTAACGTAGAGAGTTTTCTATCGACCAAATGTATAAAATGGACTTATATTTTACAACAACACCATTTTTACCATGCCATGCAGTCAGAATGGTTGATGGTTGTGTTTATGCCTATCCACAATATATGCATGTATTTATTTAATTGTATACACAGGAGGACGAAGGTGGCGATGGGCGAATTGGAGAGGAAGAATATGATGCGCTCAACGATGAAACCTTCGGGTCTGCAATAAATGGAGATTGGGAAGAAGCTCATGAAACGCTGGTGCGCCTTGGCGGAAATGGCGACAAGGTTCGAAAGAGAGGCGGTTTCGCAGATAGAGGTGCATACGGGGGATTTTCAGCCGGCGGCAACGGCGTGCCCAGGCACACGAATATGCTTTCATCGGCTCCCTCGTCGAGTGGCTCAACACCTGCGCCATTTAATGCACCTTTTCCTGGCCCACGAAATATGGAAGACGCAGACTTGGAGCTGAATCTGTCTTCCATGAAGCTAGATGATGTGGACTTGTCCTCTTTTCTCGATAGCGAGGTGGGCAATCTTAGCAATCGCATTAACTTGGACTCTGCAGTGTGGGCGTCGCCACCGGTTCCGAATAACCAACCGTTATTTCGTGAAACCTTTCGCAGTGCGTTTAGGCCGCAAACGCAGATGAAACTCCAGCAAGAGTCCAACGCAAATTTATCATTACATCATATGCACCCTCAAGCTGGTCCTAAAATCTCGACCCTCGAGGATATTGAACGCAATCTTATCATTCAGCAAGCAATACCGAAGCTGCAACAGCATACGATAGATCGAAAAGCGTTTGATGCTATTCCAAAATTAATTGCAGTGCCCCCTGGATTCTTGACAACGCCACAAACCTCGCCACCAAGGACTAATATAGGTTTCCATGGCCCCCACCCGTTGCCCGAGTTGATGCCAAATCCTCAATCCCAACAACAGCTGAATGGATTGGCAGGGAATCGTGTGCCGCCTGGGTTCATTTACCCACCTGGTTTGCCAGGAAGTATGCCCCAACTGCAACAGTATCCGCTGCTGCAACAACACGGTGCCTGTGCCTTGCCCCCAAATTTTCCTCTAGGCGGCAATCAGCGTCCACTGCCAACCCCACATCTACCCACAGCCCTAAACAACTTTGCAATGCATCCGAGTTTCAATGCAATGCGAGCTGCTGGCTTGCATCCGGCAGCCTTTATGCAGCCCGCGCATCCACTCCAACACCCACAGTCACGAATGCCCCCACACCCTCTGCAGGCAGCCAACAATCTGCTCAGCCAGCAACAAAACTCTATGTTCAATATGTTCAACATGCGCCTCGTGCAGGAGATCCAGCAAAATCATCCGCTTCTTCAGCAAAATGCGGTCGTGGCCCGCCAGCTCCAGCAAAGGGGAGGATCTGTCCCCAGCGATCAGCGTCAAAAGCAACAGATGCAGCAGCAACAGCTCAATCGACGTCCAGACGCATCAGGAAACCTTCCTCAGGATGAATACGACGAATATGCCAATCTTATGAGCACACGGGACAAGCACTGGTTGATCGGTATACAGTTGTCACAGCTAAATACGGACACCCCCTACATTGACGACTACTACTACACGGTCTACAGAGAGCGCAAGGCTCTGCAAAATGGTCAGGTGCGGCAGAGTCAGGCCCACAAGGACAACCAGTTAAACCATCCCTTAACGCAACCCAGGGGCCATGCCCAACTTATACTCGTTCAGTTGGGCAACAAAAACGGCACACGCAACGGACATGGACAGCACCGCGAGCGGCGAAACTCGGAAAACACCAACAGCACTGGTGGCAGCACAAATAATGCAGCAAGTGGAAGTGGAGGGAACAACAACACTTTACCGGGATACATTTTCTCGCCTCTGAAGTTTGAGAACTCGCTTGGTAAACTGCAATATGGCAGCGTGACAGCTCCACGTAAAATTATTGACGCGGACATAATGGGCGGCGAGGCTAGCCCTGGAGATATGGCAGGAAATTCGGCATCTTCCTCAATGAGCACAATGAGCGGGGTAAATGCAAAAGCTAATGCCGGGACACCACTTCTACCAAGTTCTAGCTGTGATGTCACACCCAGTAGTATGCGCAAATCGCGACACATTTTGTTGCTGATAGAAACTCTGTACCGCTATCTACTGAAACTAGAGGACCTTGAAAACACGGACGTTATGGCCACGATCGTTTTGAAGAAAAAGAAAGAGGCCGAAAGAATTGCAGCTCTGGAGCAGCTTGAAATGGCTAACAAAACACCTGAGGAGCGGGCCGCCGAAGCATCTAATCCACAAAGTATCAATCCACAGCTGAAGAATAAATTCAACTACGAAATTGAGACGACTGATGCGCTGGTGCACAAACTTAAGGCAGGTTTGGCTTTCGACAAGGTCGTAGCTATGATGAATGTGCGCAAGGGCAAGGTAAGTTATATCTCAATGCGTACTACTATGCATCCAATCCATGCAATCCTATCTATCTGATTTAGATACTTTTACGCCGCGTTATGCCGTTTATTGCTGAGCATAGTGTATGCTGGACAGTGTGGAGTGGAGTCTTCTGCTCGCTACAGACTGTTGTAAAGAAGGACAAAGACGATATAGAGGGTGTCCTCTACGCTTTGTACCCAGAATTCAAAAAGCACATCAGCAAAGCCAGCTTTGAAACAGTCGTCACCATTTCAGCAGCAATCACGCTGAATGACAATAAGCTAACGGGAATTTTCTGCAGTCGCGTAAGTTAAGAATATTCACAGTTCCGCGAAACATTATTAAACAAAAATAATTGAATTTCCAGTTTGGGATCCTATCGCTTGTTGCCTTGATACTTCGTGCCGAAGAAATATACGTTTCCAGAATGGACCCAACGCTTAGCGACGCGAATAGGCAGAAATGGCGGGAGTTTCTTGCACAGGTAGCGTCCTGCCTCAACCGAACCATACAGAATCAGACTATCTCCGCAGCCATTGAGTCAGATGCGATTCAACCGCTAATGGATCATTTTGAACATTTCAAAGACCTAAAACTCGATGCCCTGTTGGCATTGATAACAGAGGCCAGGCATCAAATCGATTAATTTGCGCTCATGTCTTGTCTTTATTTTTTCAGAAGTTTATGCTTTACTCAATTATGCATATGTTTGCAAAAATTATGTATTCAATACTTACATATGTATGTACAATCGTGTTTACTTTAATGGTACTATACAAAGCGAAAAAAAAACAAGAATATTGCTACAGGGTATGTCAAATCTCGCATCAAAAATGGACACGTACTCAACCGTCAATAAACTTTGATTATATAATTTTTTCTTGGATTCCAAAAGTTCTTTAATTAAAATGTGTGTGCACTGTATAAGAGAGAAAAATGTTATTGTTTTTTTTTTCATAATAATTCTAATATTACAGTATGAAGGTCTGGTCTTGCTCATTGTACATACTTGTATATCATTTGTATTTGTTAAGGAAAACTGTTCACTTCCCTTCATTATTTTCTGCAGATATTTATGATAATTAATCCAATCCAACATACATTGAGATGTGCAATTGAACATTCTAGACGTTTACCTTTTTCATTTATGTACATTCATGTATGAGCTGAAGGAGTAGTTGTAGTTGACAACAATAGTTCTTACTTAACCCCTGACAGGAAGTGAAAATAAAATATAACTAACTACGTTTATACATTTTTAAGCACCAGCGATCACCATGCATACTCATATACTCGTAATACATACATACATATGTAAACATGTAATCATAAATAATTACTTAGTTTCTGGTATTTGTAAATATCGGTTTTATAAAGTTTCTTCAAATAATATTTAGGGTTTCATTGAATCAAATTTGTGTGAACCCATCCAGTTTAAAGAAAACATTCAGCATCAGAATAAATGTGTATTACATATGTACATCATTAATACAACATAGCATTGTGAATTGTGCGTCCGATAAATGTGGCTACTGCGCAGATTGATCAAAATTGTGATACATTTTGACTTTTACATGTAAACGAATAAACAAAATATGCAGAAGAAATTAAATTAGCAAACACTCGAACAAATTTAAGTCACAATCACTTCAATTCTCCTTCTGGATGTAAATCTAAAAGCGACGGATAAATATTTGTTGTAAGAATCCGTAGCGTAGTTATTGGGACTATTTTATTTGGTTTAAATATAAGAAAAATGCGCCTTTTAAATCATGTTTGTATACTTTAATTAATTTTGTCTTTAAATTAAATTCTAGTTTTTATCTTCTTTTTTTTAACGGCCATGCCAGACCATAAATGTGTGTGTTTAAGAAAATAAATCAGAGTCAAAGTACTACGATAGCTACATACAATATGTAAGAAAAAGGCATGTACAATAAACCTTGTAGAATAAATTGTATTTATTAAATTCAAGCAGACAATTTTCTAAATTAAATATGTTCACTGATGGAAACACCACAAACTATTTATGTATGTATATCATTCAGAAGATAATATATTTAACAAAGCATACCATTTCAAAAATCACAATGGACTTTCACATTTTAAAATTTCATACATATGTACAGTAGCTCACAGCTTAAATGAACCAGACGACCAGCGAAACTTAAAAGTGGTATAGCTTCTGAACCATCAACCTTACCACAGAAAATCAAATGTATACTGATAGACAAATATTTATATTTCAACAAAACCAGCTTCATTTATTTTTCAAAAGTTTTTTAAATCGGTTACAATTAATTACAAAAATACTGCCTTATTTTATCCCACAGCAAAATAATTAAGCAATTTTTTTTGGTTTCTATTTTACTGTAGCCCCTTTGCGCCATTTTTGCATCGATTCGAAAAATTGTACTGATCTATGGCCTAATTTTCTCCCACACCTCTGTAAGTGCTGTTTTTAAGCCTTTTTTACGTTTTATAATACTCTGATCCATTATTAGCCATTATTATTATGAGTCAAAGGAATCATTAAGTAAGGGCAATTTTAAATTGGCCAGTTACGAGCAATTCCCGATTTAAGGTTAGGGTCGTTCACCTGGTAAAATCAAATACCATCTTTTATACCGAGTTTTTTGAACATGTTAAAAGGTTTCTTTATGTATCGATAGATAACATGTCCTTGTTTATTTTTTTATCAAAGAAATCCGAATTCCCAACACCAGCGGCTGACATTTGGGCCCAAATATGCCCCATGATCTCCTCCTCTCCTCCTCCTCTCAGGGTCTTCGTTTTTTAAGCTGTGTATTTGGATTTCTCCAGACTTATTTTTTAATTCGGACTGCAAAACCATTAACTAAACATTAACATATTCAACCCATTTTAACCCATTTCGACTGATAACACTAGTCAACACGATTTTTCCTCAAGGAACAAAACGAACTTTTTCTTAAAGATTTGGGGCTTAGAAATGGTTTGATGATATTTTTTTTTTTCTATGGCAGAACTTTTTTTTGAAGAATTTTTGAAGTCTGGTATTTTTTTTTTTTGCTTTTTTTAGAGGTAGCGCTTGTTGTTTTCACATAGCTCTAGTAACTTACGTCTGGTTGTAAAGAACTTTGCTATTTTGAAAAGGTAATTAAAACAGCTAGAAGTTAAGCCCAAATACTTTGTGATTTCAAAAAATACCTTTTGGAAGGTTGCGAGCTCAACTGCCCATTGGGAACAAAGGAACGCGATCAGGTACCAAATGTACAACCCTTGTTCGTTTGCTTTGTTCCCAATTGGCAGTTGGGCGGCAACCTTCCAAAAGGTATTTTTTGTTCATTTTTTCCATATTTTAGGTTTGGTTAACGATTTTAGCTCCAAAGTCTCTCCATAGATTTTAATGAGCGATACCTTAAACGACGCCAAATTAACGCACCTATACACAAAAAAATAGAGGACACAAGATATAATTTTTTTTCGACTTTTCCTGGGTTTTTAAAGTCAAAATTTCGTAAAAAATACCGCACAAAAATCATCATTTTTGCATTTCAATGCTTTATATTTCCCAGACGGTAAGCTGACGGTAAGCTCTTGAGCCACTCTCATGTTGGCATCATAGAGGCTTTTCAGTACCCAGTTGACGTGTTTAACGTGCTCGTCCTGAGACTTGGAGAATATGATTACGTCATCGACGTAAACATAACATGTTTTGCCGATTTGTTCGCGCAAAACGTCATCGATTGCCCTCTGGAAAATGCTGCCAGCATTTCTTAGATCGAAGGGCAGTCGGCAAAACTCATACTTCCCTCCATTTACGGAAAAGGAAGTTTTTTCCCTGTCGCGTTCCGCCAAAGTTATTTGGTGGTACCCGGATTTCAGGTCAAGAGTAGTGAAGTACTTTGCAGTACCTAAATTTGCCAATATCATTGAGATGCATGGCATGGGGTATTTGTCGGCTATCGTTTTCTGATTGAGCTTCCGAAAGTCCATTACGAGACGTTTCTTCTTATTGCCCTTCTCATCAGTGCCTTTTTTGTCGACCACCCATATCGGGTTGTTATATGGCGACCTTGATTTCTGTATGATTTTGTCCTTCAAGAGGCTTTTAACCTCGGCATCGACAAAATCAGCTACACCCATCGGGTAGGGGTAAAGCTTGGAATAAATTGGTTCGTCGTCCACTGTGCGAATAGTGGCCACGACCGAAGTGTTATGGGCAGCGACCCGTTAGGGTCGGCGAAGGCCTTGTTTCTTTTCTTCAGCATTTGCATGAAGCTTGCCTTTATGGCAGCAGGTGCGTCGATGTCAACAACGTTAGTATGGTTGACATCTGTGCACTCATGGAACTTGATTGTCTCGGTTGTGTTGCCGAAAGTGAGCGTTCCATTTCTCAGAGATAGCGTGGCCCCTACCTGCGTGAGCAGGTCCAGGCCAATGATGCCATCAAAGGTTGTTAATGTTTTTAGTAGAAAAAACGGCGTGATTTTGCCGAATATTGACAGGGGACATTTCTGTGTAATGTTGTTGGACCCGTTAATAGAGTGAACGGGGAACGGTGATTCAACCGGGGTAACGCCAGGAAGCCACATGAATGGCTTGATGTAATTTTTGGACGCACCCGTGTCGATCAGAAGTTTTATGTTGACCCCTGCTACTTTCCGCCAAACGAATGGCAGCAGGGAGCATCCCTAAAAAATTAACCGAGTCGCTCTCGTATCCGAGTTCGGCGTCGGCCTCTATCTTCTGCGACCGCCTCAGCGGCGGCCTCAGTGTAGGCCGCCGGGGACCGGTCACTTGAGGTGGCAATGTGTTCCACCCTCTGCCGCCAGTTTCCTGACGTGCGCTCTGACGAATTTGGTTTTCTTCCGAAACCGCTGTCGCGCTTACCCGTCCCCCCTGGCTTTTGGTAAGCCGTGGCCTGTCTAAATTTGGAGGATGAAGGGTCTACGTCCATTGGCTCGGGGGCCTGGCCCGTAGCTCTTTGTTGTTGATTCGAGTTGCCCTGGCTCCTAACATAATGAGGGCTCTTAAACGAATTTGGGTCTTGCGGTCTGTTTTGCCTCCCGTTACCCTGTTGTGGCGCTTGGTAATTGCGCTCGCCTGTTCGGAAGGATTTTTCTTCTATGGCCTTTGCGTAGTTCGCAGCCAGAATGCTGCGATCTTCGCTGGATTCCGCCGACTGGGCTAAGGCCAGTGCGGTTGGCAAATCCTTTGGCCTCGCCGGAAAGACTGCTGCCTTCAGGGGCCTTCTCAAACCTGATATGAACACCTCTAAGGCGTCTTCCCTAGCTTTTTGGTTGAGCACATCCGCTGCTTCTGCGGTGCGCATCATCACGTTTTTGTTGGTGATGAGGGAGACCTGTTTCTCTATTGCGTCATAGTAGTCAGTTAGAGACAGGTTCCCTTGTCTCATGGTTGCCAGCCTCTGCTGGATCACCCCTACAGGCGTCTTATCTGAATAAGAGCTGTCTAGCCTGTTTATTATGGCCTTAAAATTGAGCACTGTGTTGAAGGACGACAACACATTGTTCGCTGCTCCTTTAACCTTATTCCTAATGATGCCCGTGGCCATGAAGTGTTTGGAGCTGCCTTGGTAAGGCTCGAACACCGAATACGCGGCCATAGCTGCCTGGCGCCAACCGACGTATTCCAGCTGTTTGCCGTCAAAGTCTGGTAAAGACTTGACCATGTCCAAGCACTGATCGCATTGGACCCCGGGAAGAATTTCCGCGCTCTTAAAAACCTCTACTACCGGCACAGATGGTCCTGCGCTCGATTGGTTAACTTGTTCCCGCAGTGCGAGCATTTCCGCACGAAGTGCAGTAGCTTGGCCCGCTAGGGCTGCAGCCTCTTGTGCTTGGGCTGCAGCCTGGTTTGCTTGGGCTGCAGCCTGGTTTGCTTGGGCCACCTCGTCTTGTAGTCGCTCTAAGTGAGCCTGAAAACCTTTGGCTTGATTATCTAATGCGGCCTGTAAGGCATTGTTGAATGACGTCACGTCCATGTCTTTTGGTTTTTCTTTTGCTGGTCGACTGTCCAGTGCTGTTAAATCGAGCCCCTCTATGAGGGAACTAAGGCTATCGTCACTGTCGCTGTCGCCCTCCTATGGCTCATGTGGTGCGATTTGTTTCGGCAGAACTACCCTATAAAGGTTTATCTTACGTTCCTAATTCTTAAAAACGCGGGTCGAAGGGTGTTTGCTCATTCGCGGTTTACTTTAAATTTTGACCAAAATTTGCCAAAAATAGCGGATCTTTCGCTGTTATCGATACTTATTGCGTTATCACTGACATAGGAAATGTTAACACATGAAAAATTCACTTACATGTTCTCTGATTGTAGGGTGAAGGGAGTCTGATCTAGCCCCTGCCTATTGGTCTTCGGTTGAGCGTCGGGAGCCTTTCACGCTGAGATGGTTGGGCTGGGCGAGGGAATTCCCTGCAGCCCGCGTAGACTTTTGTTGATTTTTGGTAAGGTGAGGCGAGGGAGGGCCCTTCAGCCTATTTTTTCCTTCGTAGATATTGGGTGGAAGCGAGGGATTTCCCTACAGCTCCTTGTGTTTGTTCCTCTGGTGTCAGCTCCCGCGTAGTTGGGTGTTTTTTTGTAATTTTTTTTTTTTGATTCTTAATGCTTGGTTGTAGCGCACATGAAACAGAAGTATTTTTCAGTAGCCCTTTTGGTTTTGGCGAAGAACAAAAAAAAATTTGCACACACTGATGTATTTTTTTGGGCGGGGGGGTTTGACAACCAAAACTTCTCACTTATTTTTTCTTTAATTTTTCATTCCTTTTCTGTTGATTTGTTTGTGCCCACAGGGAGCTTTTTTTTTTGGGCCACTAGGGGTATCTTTCTTATTTCACTGACACAAGTAAAAACATGAGATGCACTCGTTGGTATGTTTTCCACTTTTATTATTTATTTCGAATTTTCTTTTGATTGTTGAATTCTTCAGCACTTTTTATACTCGCGTTAACTTGGGTTCTTTTGAC